CCATCTACACAGAATGACTGTAATCCATTGCTGTGCATCTAGCAGTGGATCGCAAACTGTTCCTCCCCACGGCGCTTAACGACAGAAGTGATGATTGATGATGATGAACATCTTAGGTGTTTACCAGCCCATCATCGGTCCTCGTCCTTACGTGTATTTTCACCCTCATCCTTTTTCTCAATTCTCCAATTATAAATAATCGTGTTGTAATTCACTGAAAGCATAAACTGCCCCACTATAACAGCTACCGCCTGCCGCATTCAACAAACTCATGCAGATCTCAGTTTGCTGCCAGCTTTCAAAGGTCGCGCTTGGCACATGCTCTATTTATAAACACCTGGCAGTACTGAAATAGCCCCGCAGATTCATTGCTGACTCACTGTATTGTCTCACCTATAGTCCACAAGCCAGATTTAGCCGTCGTGTTTATTTCTGCTGAATTCGATTTGACTGCAGGGGGGGGGGGGGTGGTGGCTGGGGAGATTGCTTGAGCGTATGTATCTCCCTCCCTCCCCTGGTTTTACATTCCACTGACAGGTTTTTCCTGGTTTCTTGAAATATGAGCTGTGGAATTGTTTGAAAGTGGTCTGTACTTGAGGGGAGATGTCTGTGCGTGTTTCTGGCTTTTTTATGTTCGTATGTATGTATGTATGTATGTATGTATGTATGTATGTATGTATGTATGTATGTATGTATGTATGTATGTATGTATGTATGTATGTATGTATGTGTGTGTGTGTGTGTGTGTGTGTGTGTGTGTGTGTGTGTGTGTGTGTGTGTGTGTGTGTGTGTGTGTGTGTGTGTGTGTGTGTGTGTGTGTGTGTTGTGTGTGTGTGTGTGTGTGTGTGTGTGTGTGTGTGTGTGTGTGTGTGTGTGTGTGTGTGTGTGTGTGTGTGTGTGTGTGTGTGTGTGTGTGTGTGTGTGTGTGTGTGTGTGTGTGTGTGTGTGTGTGTGTGTGTGTGTGTGTGTGTGTGTGTGTGTGTGTGTGTGTGTGTGTGTGTGTGTGTGTGTGTGTGTGTGTGTGTGTGTGTGTGTGTGTGTGTGTGTGTGTGTGTGTGTGTGTGTGTGTATGTGTGTGTGTGTGTGTGTGTGTGTGTGTGTGTGTGTGTGTGTGTGTGTGTGTGTGTGTGTGTGTGTGTGTGTGTGTGTGTGTGTGTGTGTGTGTGTGTGTGTGTGTGTGTGTGTGTGTGTGTGTGTGTGTGTGTGTGTGTGTGTGTGTGTGTGTGTGTGTGTGTGTGTGTGTGTGTGTGTGTGTGTGTGTGTGTGTGTGTGTGTGTGTGTGTGCCTGTGCGTGCTTCTTCAAGTTTTCAACTTGTATGTCTGCTGTCCACGATCCTCATACACACAACAACAAAGGTTCAGTATGACACTTTAACAGGTGACATCTTTTTTTTTTTTTATTGGTGTAAAGGCCACTTTTGTCAGTTAAATTGATTCACTTGTTTAAGAAGTTTGCCATTTGCCATTATGGTATTTTATTCTTCTTGGTGGCGGCCACAGAGAAAACATGGAAAAATGGAAAACAGGAGTGGGATGTTAAATGTGCATAATCCTAGTTTAAATACAAAATAATAATACTAATAATGTGCCGAATGATAAATAACTATTGTAGTTGATTTAAAATTATATGAAATGTATCAACAACAAAATAATTGTAAAGATAATTTCTATAAATAGTTAAAAGGGGAATCTTAGTCGCCTTATGTAATCATTGTATTATATTGGGGTGTTGGCGGTGTCCGTGGCTCAGGGGTTGCGAGTTCGACTTGTAATTCCAACGTACCTCGATCGAAACCCACTGCTGGCTGCGTGGATTGTTATCGTGGTATAGGGCGCCGCAGGTCGACCCAGCCTAAAATGGATACCAGGATGTATGTCCCGGGGAAAGTAAAGACGGCCGGCGTAATGCAGACCACATTACCCACCTAGTGCCGATTGGTCTGTAAAAATATGGGTGCTCTTCCCATATGCCCGATGCGCCTAAAGGGATCGTTACTTTACTTTTACTTATGTTGGGCCGATGGGGCCTGAACCTTGCGAAATTATTATATTATATTGAGGTGGGGGGGGGGGGGGTTAAACCCTCACGTTCCAACTCCTATGCCTTAATGTTTTCTTTATGTCTGCGCCACTATGTCACCGGCCATAAAGTCTTGCCTTCTGTCTAGCAGACAAGGGAAATAACGTCCCCAAATGCTATCCTTGCGTCTTCTAACGACCGTGATGAGGTCATTCAAGTTTGCTTGCACCAGTTGCAGACAGAGACAAGCACACACAGCATGTGACGAATGCTGGTATCCCTCGCCAGAAATATGGCTGTCTTGGCTTTTGTTTCCTCACTCGGCAAACTTTCGGCATCCCGTCTGAATGATTCAGTTTCGCCTGTCGGCCGTTCCAACACCTCTTGCACAGGTGTCTGAAGGGGGAAAAGAACGCGGTTAAACAGTTCAGCCAGTTAATCAAAACATGCTGTGACGTCAGTTGCGCAACCTGAAGAAACAGGCGTTGAGGGAAAGCAGAGAAACAAAGAACTTCAAAAGTCGGGACAAAGAAAGAAAGAAACGAAGACAAAAGGGGTGGGGTGTGTTGAGAAGGAAGATTCAGCTGTGGTTTTTGTTCTAGTAGACAGCCAATTTACTGTTATTCAAAGGTAAAGTTACGGGAGCGCAGGGTTCTTTCATAATATCCTACCCCAGATGACGTCCCAGGACGGTCCAGCTTTTTAGAGGATGGTAAGACTGGTTTTCCAGGCTTTCTGATGCTTTTAACGACCCTCAAAACATCTAGAACTGGCCCTAACCCCAACCCTCCTACGTCCCACGAGAGAATGCAGCCTAGGTCCCACGACTGCATACACCCTAGGTCCCACGACTGCATGGAGCCTATCTACCACCCCCTGAAATATTAGACTACCATGACCTGTGGATTTCCCCTGTTTGGGGTAGGATATTAAGAAAGCACCTAGCGCAGTAATTATAATAACAGTAATGATAATGTGCAGAATGGTAAATACGGGAAACAGTCCGCTTCATTGCAGCTGGTTTCATCCATATAGAGCTCAGTCCCTCACCGCACGAACGGCAAGTCGCCTACCGAGTCACGCACAAAGAACTAAACCTGCAGCATCAGTGACTGTCCACATGGAGCTGTGTAAAAAGTGCATTCGTGAATCGAACGATGCAGTTCATGAAACGAACCCTACGACCTACAGAGCGCTGGGCAAACGAGCTAACCATGAAGATCTCCTTGAGGGGATGGGAGGCTTGGAGTACTCTGAGTTATGGATGGCCTATACCAGTTTACTGGCTCTAAACTCCGGCAGAAAGTTCTGTTTATCCGTTCACCTCTGGTCTTGTTCCAGAATCATTGTTGCGTGCACATCCGTTTTACAGATCTCCCTTATTTGTATTCAGACTGTTGGTTCATTGCCTCTCAGGCAGATGTACTCTGATTTCGAAGGAAGTCCTCTTCCCTGTTAGTGGACTCTTACGACATGCTTGTTGGAAAGGCAGTGATTCCATTTTTCCCCGCTCGCATGTGGATTGTAAGGTGGTGACGGAACGGGGCTTTCTTAAATAATTACCTTGGCTCCCAGGTCGACCCAGCCTTGAGTTAGTACCAGATACTGTCGTGTGTTAGCGGCCGGTGTTATGATGACCACACTACCCCCTATTAGCCAGTCAATCTATAAAATATAGGTCCAACCCTATTTGCCCAATGCGCATCACGAGAAGGAGAAAACTGAAGAACATCATTATGGTTGGGGGAAGTTAGAGGGAGAAGGAAGCAGACAGAGACCAAAAGAGAAGATGCTTGACATGGCTACCAACACCACATGGCATTGACTGTATAAGGGAAGAAAACTTTCATCCAAGTAGCACTGTTAATTAGACATCCATCCATATGACCACCAATAGACAGATTATAAACAGCATGTTCATACCAACACTTTTCTACCAGTGCCAAACTTGATCCATATGACCACCAATAGACAGATTATAAACAGCATGTTTATACCAACACTTTTCTACCAGTGCCAAACTTGATCCATATGACCACCAATAGACAGATTATAAACAGCATGTTTATACCAACACTTTTCTACCAGTGCCAAACTTGATCCATATGACCAACAATAGACAGATTATAAACAGCATGTTCATACCAACACTTTTCTTTTTTTTACCAGTGCCAAACTTGATCCATATGACCACCAATAGACAGATTATAAACAGCATGTTTATACCAACACTTTTCTTTTTTCTACCAGTGCCAAACTTGATCCATATGACCACCAATAGACAGATTATAAACAGCATGTTCATACCAACACTTTTCTTTTTTCTACCAGTGCCAAACTTGATCCATATGACCACCAATAGACAGATTATAAACAGCATGTTCATACCAACACTTTTCTTTTTTCTACCAGTGCCAAACTTGATCCATATGACCACCAATAGACAGATTATAAACAGCATGTTCATACCAACACTTTTCTTTTTTCTACCAGTGCCAAACTTGATCCATATGACCACCAATAGACAGATTATAAACAGCATGTTCATACCAACACTTTTCTACCAGTGCCAAACTTGGACATTATCAAAAGCTAACCTATGTAAAATTAATGCCTGTGAGAGGAGATATCTGAGGAAAGCCACCAGTTTCACTATCCCAAACTGAGGGTGAAATTATATTCTCCGACAGACTGGAGGAAAATACCCCAGAATTCATTACAAAAGCAGAAGATGAAATCCACAGCCATATCTTTAGAATGCAACCATTACCACTAACAGCACCGGCACTAAACCTAAAAAGATCTTATCTGAAAGCAACAGGATGTCCTTAGAATTAGATGGATTGATGACATTAAAGACATTCTACATTGACATGAAATGACATTGCTACCCATCAAGCAATGGATCACAAACTGTTTCTCCCCACAACACTTAATGGCAACAGTAGGAATTGATGACTTTCATTTATTTTCATTTCAGACTACATTGCTCAACATGGTAGGATGTCAGAACAGGATGCCAGGAGAAAGTTCTGGCAGATTCTATCGGCGGTGGAATACTGCCACAATCGGCACATTGTCCACAGGGACTTGAAAGCTGAGAATCTGTTGTTAGATGCCAACATGAACATCAAAATTGCAGGTGAGATTCTCTTACTGGTCTCTTTGTGTGCTTGTCATTTTCTCCATTTTGAAAGATGAGTCCTTCCAAATCAGAGTGCATCTGCCTGGGTGGAGAGGAACTAACAGCTTGGTGTCCAGTACTTTATATTATGATCACCATACTTCCCTTTGGTTTCAGGGACCCCCATTTTAGGGTCTAAAACAATGGACCCACCCCACAATATGCATGTTATAAAGGGCAACTGGTTGGAAGTGTCTCCTTTGAAGTCAGAGTACATCTGCCTGAGTGGCAAGGAACCAGCAGTCTGCATACAAAAAAGCCAGATCTGTAAAATGGATGTGCACATAAAACTCCTAATGCTGCGAACCTTTAACACAGTTCCCTCATGTTTTGGCTCTCAGCTAACTGTGTCTGGCATAACCCCCCTACCCCCCCCCCCCCCCCCCCCCCCACCCCCCCCCCCCCAACAATCATATCTCCCTCTCTGAAGGATTGAAAAATCATCACCTGGCAAAGTCCAGTTCTGGAACATAAAACCAAAGTCCAGGAACAAAATTAAAGTCCAGAAGTGGACAGACAACAATAATAACTTTCCACCTGAGTTTATTGGCGGTGAGAACACGGAGAAGAAGACGAAGAAAGGAAAGATGTTTAAGAAAGTTTTGTTGCTTTAACTTCAGGATAACATATGCAAACCAGGAAGTTAAAAAGTTAGTTGCGTATCCTTTACAGGACATTGCATTACAACACCAGCATTTTTTAGCTGTTGTGGTTTTTTTTTCTATGCAGATTTTACATTCAGTAATTATTTGCCATTGCTCCTGAATGGTCAGCTCTTGGTACCACTGTCGAAACCTTCACAAGACAAATCATCCGCAGATGGGATCGAACCTGGCTCCAAAGGATTGCAACTTGTGTTTGCAATATCTAAGCCACAGTTGCCGAAGAAGAACATTTTATATTTACTTTTGACTGCAAAGAAACTTACTTGTTTGATAGTCACAATTAACTGAAAGAGGATTGTTATATTGTTATATTTTTAAAAATGATTAATACTGTGGTAATTGTTAATACTTCTTTTACTTACTAACTCTACCATTAACGCTACTGCTGCTACTCCTGCAACTGCTGCTACATTACTAATAGCACTACTGCTGCTGTTACTACTCATCTCATGGTACAAATACTGCTGCTATAAGTACTACTGCTGCTATTAATAATACTGCTGCTACTGCTGCCATTGCAACAGATACTACTGCTGCTGCTGTTACTACTTTACTAATACAAATACTGCTGCTGTTGGTTCTACTGCTGCTATTAATACTGCTACTGCTACTGCTGCCATTGCTACAAATGCTGCTGTTACTACTCCTTTGCTAATACAAATACTGCTGCTATTGGTACTGCTATTGCTATTAATAATACTACTGCTACTGCTGCTGTTACTACTCCTCTAAGATTACCAGATTACAAATACTGCTGATATTGGTACTACAGTTGCTACTACTACTGCTACTGCTGCTACAAATTTTGCTACTGCTGCTACAGTTACTACTCCGGTTACTAATACTACTATTGTTCTGCTACTGCTAGTCTTAATACTGCTGCTGCTACATCTACATTTACCACCACCATTGCTGCTACTGCTGCCGCTGCTGCTACTGCTACTATAACTACAAGTACTGTTAATGCTGTTATTATTATTATAACTACTACTGTTATTATAATTATTATTATGTTGTTGTTTATTCATCACCACATTTCAGATTTTGGTTTTGGAAATTTCTTTGAGCCTAACGAACAACTTGCAACTTGGTGTGGCAGTCCCCCGTATGCAGCACCAGAAGTCTATGAAGGAAAGAAGTACTTAGGTCCTCAGATTGACATCTGGGTAGGTGACAAAAGGCAGCTTTGTATTAATTCACTTGTTTACATTCATAATTGTGATCTTCTTCATCCTAACATTTGCCAGCTGTAAACTTTAGCAGAAGAGTTCTGTTTGTTTATCCACTTTACAGATCTGGCTTATATGTATGTAGACTGTTGGTTTCCTGCCTCAGACAGATGCATTCTGATTTTGAAGGAAACTTCTCTAAGTCTCCTTTTAAGGCATGCTTATGGGAAAGAAAGGGGGGGGGGGGGGCATTCATAGCATACCTTTAACTTTACTCCCATTCAGAGCATACCTTTAAGTTTACTCCCACCCCATTCAGAGCATACGTTTGCCTTTACCTGATTCATAGAGCACACCTTTAACATTACCACCATGAAGATCTTACCTTTAACATTACCACCATTAAGATCTTTCTTACCTTTAACTTTATCCCTTTCATAGTGTATTGTTAACTTTACCCAGTTTAGAGTGTACCTTTAACTTTACCCCTATTAAAATTTTACCTTTAACTTTACCCTATTCAGAGCTTACCTTAAACTTTACCCCCATTAAGATCTTACCTTTAACTTTACCCCATTCAGAGCCTCGGTGTGGTCCTGTATGTGCTGGTTTGCGGTGCCCTGCCCTTTGATGGTCCAAATCTTCAGGTACTCCGAGACCGGGTATTGTCAGGAAGATTTCGCATCCCATACTTTATGTCATCAGGTGAGTTATGTTTCCTTGATTCATAACAAGTACCAGGCGCATGTCATTTTGGTTTTGTTTCAAGATAAGCTAGTTAGTGTCCTTTGGATATTTTATGCAGGGCATGCATCTGTGTTGGGGAAGAAACAAGCAGATAGACTGGCTGGTTTAGCACAACTTGATGGCAGATTGGCACTTGACATCCAGTATGAGAATTGAGGTGGAGGCAGTAACAGCAGCTTTCCGATGGCTTCAGAGCAGCACAGCAGAACATGTTAATTGTAACAGACTCACAGAGCATGCTTTGGAAAACTGAAACTGGTGTCCTGCATGCAGGGTGGCTTGCATCACTTGATAAGACCCAGATCAAGTGCATATCATAGTTTCTGAGGAAACAAGCAGGCTGATAGATTAGCTGCTCCCGCTCCTCTGGGCGGTAAGCTACTATATGATAGAGCGGATGTGGTGAAGACTCTGTGAGATCAAATGGAGAAAGGGACAGAGCATGTGTCCCAAGCGCACTGATGTCAATTCTTGTTTCCTTTATTCATTGGCGCTTGACAAGCTAGATGTTGTAAGGGCCCTTTTGGAGCGAGTGAACAGCGTAAAGGCCCAAACAGATCATCACGGTCTGGAGAGAATGGTACAGTGAGGAGTGACTAGAGTTTAGGCTGACACAGTACTCAGGGTGAAGGCAAGATGAACACACAGTCACTCTGCTACTGGTTTCATTAGAATTGGAGCTTTGTGCTGGCTGCTGAAGGTGGGAATAGAGCGCTTATGAGAATGTCACAGGTGCTGTGATGTTGTTTAACTCATATCAGGATGGGCTGTACTAGAGAACCATGCTCAGCTTGTTCTAATAAACTGTCCTCAGCAGTGAGAAAATATCCGCTAAACATGACATGGATCTGTCTTTTGGATGCATCTTAATTAGATTCATTGCCTATGTGTATCAGAAAGCTGGAAATTGACCTGTGTGTGTATGTGAGTGTGTGTGTGTGGGGGGGGGGGTGTGTGTTATGGCAGCTAGACCACGACCAGCTTCAGCTGACAGGCCGTGCTGCTGATGTCACCGGGTCGGGCTAATGATGGGTTAACGTGTTCTCAAACAAGAAATAAACTATTTTCCATAGTGTTAAGGGAAGACAACTTGAATTTAAATTTGTAAGTATCTTCGTGTCTTCTTTAATAATTTCACAATTTTTAGCTGACCTTTCTTTATTATTGCCGCGGAACATCTTGCACAGGCTCATGGCACCCTCGGCACCCAGTTTGAGAACCGCCACATTAACACATCATTAGCCTGATCCTGTGAGGTCATCAGCACGGCCTGTCAGCTGGAGCTGGTCATGGCTAGACCAAGGCTGTTCAGTTAAGTTCACTCGGGGGCCAACATTTTGAAAATGGGGGGTGCCAGGGTCATTAGGCCTGAGCTCCCGCTTAGAAAGATGAATACAGTACTATTGGCAGTGCTCCACAGGCCACTTACTAGGCCTCTGCGGGCCAGATTTGACTCATGGGCTGCCAGTCAAATAGCCCTGGGCTAGATGGTTGCCTGTGGATCTGAAGGTTGTGGGTTCGGTCCTGGACGAGACAGAGCCCCCCCCCTCCCTCCCCCCCTCCCTCCCCCAAGAATCACCTAGGCTTCCTGGTCTACCCAGCCTTGAATGGGTGCCAGGTAAAGTCCTAGGAAGTAAAGGTGGCCGGTGTGATGTTGACCACATTACCAGCCGAGTGCCAATTTGTCTGTAAAATATAGGTCTAGCCCTATATGCCCAAATGCAAAAAAGCATGGCAAAGGGTCCTTAAGGAAGTGTTTGTGTGTGTGTCTATCTGTCTCTCTTTCTCTCTCTCTCTCTATAACTCTCTAAGTCACTTTATCTATGTCTATCTCTCCCTCTCATGCTCTTTTTCTGTCACTTATTCACCCAATCACTCACCACTGACTCCCTCACTCACTACCCGCTCCCTCACTCACTCACTCACTCACTCACTCACTCACTCACTCACTCACTCACTCACTCACTCACTCACTCACTCACTCACTCACTCACTTACTCCCTCACTCCCTCACTCACTCCCTCACTCACTCACTCACTCACTCACTCACTCACTCACTCACTCACTCACTCACTCCCTCCCTCACTCACTCCCTCACTCACCACTCACTCCCTCACTCACTCACTCACTTTATATAGCCAGATATTCAGATGTTTTCCTTCCACAGAGTGTGAGCACCTGATACGAAGGATGTTGGTGCTTGAGCCAACAAAACGCTACAGCATTGTTCAGATTCGTGCACACCGCTGGATGCAGATGGAAGAGAGCTACCCCAGCTCTGCACCTCCCTCCCCCATCATTGGCTACAACGCCAAGGTCGGGGAATTTAATGAACAAATCCTCAGGATTATGCAGAGTTTGGGCATTGATCAGAAGAAGACGATGGAGGTGTGTGTTATCTGTGTTTGTTTCTGTTTCTGTAGCGGGGTACCACATTATGGACAGACCAGTAGATGGCTACCACATCATTTCTGTTACAGCAGACTCATCCCCAGGTGCCTTGCCGACTGGCGTGGGCGATCATGCCTCTCCACAATCTGCGATCTCCTGCAGCATGTATCAGTTCATGTGCCGACGCACCTCCATGCCATGCAACAAGACTGTCAAGCATCTTCTCTCGTTGTCTTCCTCTATCTCTCCTTCCACAGATCTTTCCAGTGGTCACAACACGGTCTGTTTTCCCACTTCTCATTACATGGCCAAAAAATGACTGTCTTCATCTGATGTCTGTGATAAGTTGTCTTCGGGCTCCCGCCTCTTTCAAAACCTCTTGGTTGCTCTTGTTGGCTGTCCAAGGTATTCTAAGTATTCTTCTTTAAAACCACATCTCTGAGGCCTCTAGACTATTACTGCATTATAGGTCTTTATCCTGCGCTTCAGACCAGGGTACAGTCGATTTCCCAGCCACATGTACACAAAATTTAAGACTCCTTTTGGCTTTCTCCACACTATCATTATTCTTCTATTAGAATAAAATTGAAAATGCAAATGTATATTGTTGACATAATTGAAACAAGTAAACAGTCATTTATGTTTAACTTTGTTAAAAACAAAAATTCCTATTTAATTGTCCCTTTATTAATATATTGAATTATGGATTCCTACATCCCATTTTAAGAGGGAGGGGATGAGTAGGCCCACTACCCTAAGCAAGCATGTTAGTAAACTGATAAAGGGTTTGTTGAAATTTGATGTTTTGGCCCAATGGTTTAAATATCACAAACTAGCTTGATTTGATTTGATTAAAGAACTGACACAAAAGCACTCGGGCATTGCTATAAGTGCTCCGTCCCCATCTTCAGCAGCCAGCAAAGAGTTCTAATACTAATGGTGCCAGTAGCATTCTGATTAAACGTTCGTCTTGCCTTTCCTCTGAGCCTCAAGCATCTGCCAGAACTTCTTGTCACTTTTCCCTGCATCAATCTCACCAGACTGGTGATCCATCTGCTCCTTTTTAATCGTACACGCTCTCCCATAAGGCACTAACCACGCCTGCTTTTAATGCATCAGTATTCCACCACTTGTGCAGAGCCATCCAGTCTGTTCACCTATTCATTTCTCAACATACCTGCATAAACCGGTGAAAAAATCCAGACAATACTCCTCACCCGTGTCTTCCACATCGAAGCATGCCTCTCAGCACGAAATATGCTTGTCCTGATCTTCCTCAGCATGCTTTCTGAGTGTTACAATCACGATGTGTGTGTACATTGCAACCTACCTGTAAACCGCAACACAGTATGTCACCTTCCTCTTCAAGAACAAACACAGAGAATAAAGATATTAGAATTATTTAACACTTGTGTACTAGAATTATGCTAAAAAGATTGTCTTTTTCTTCTTTTTCTTCTTTTCCTCGCTTGAAATAGATTATCTGTATCTGCACTGTAGTCACTGGCATGAAATTCTGTTTGTAAAGGCCGGAACACATTTTAGTAATGTTTGATATCTTTACGTCCCCAACAGGCACTACGAAAAGACTTGTATGACCACTACACGGCAATTTATTACTTATTACTGGATAGGCTGAGGCATCATCGCAGCAGTTTTCCTTCAGACACACGCGTCGATGCTCGTAGACGCAGACCTAGCACCATAGCAGAACAAGCTATGATGCAGAACATGCCTGGCAGGCCATTGATTGGAACCACCAAACACGGTGGCTTCTCCAGGACATTAGATGCCCCAAGTGCAGGAACAGTTCTGGTACACCGAAACTACCCTCTGTCTGAGGTTGAGGTCATCCCACCACCTCCCAATGTACCACACTGCATGACAGAAGTCCTTCCTAAACCTTTCGCAAAGTCATCACAGGTCACATGTGGATCAGCAATTCCTGGTGCCAGCGTCATTACCACTTCCATCGATGAAGGAGTGGAGGTTGATATCATGGATCGGCGGGACTCAGATGTGGAGTCTGTTTCTGAAGTGAGCATAGGGTACATGTCCAGGACCGGAGGCTCCTACTCTGGGTTTGGCATTGCTCGTTCGGACCTATCATCTAGCAGCGGTAGTGGCCGCAAGCAGAGCTGTAACAGTGTAGCTTCTGGGACTCTCTCTCCATGTACTAGTATTGATTCTAGTCTGGGTGTTGACTTTTCATCACCCTTCCTTCCAGCACTTCAACTGCCTCAGCAGCATCTACAACAACAACAACAGACTTCATTGTCCTCCCCAACTTCATCCTATCGAGCTGCGGCAGCAACTATGGGCCTGGATGAATCCTTTAACTATGGTGTTGGTGGTGGTGAAACTAATGTTATGCCGCACAGTGACAGCTCAAATCAGCACCTGCTGAGTCTGTACCCCAGTGCCATGCTGAGCCACCTATCCAACGTCAGTGGAGGAGGGGCATCTCGACATGGACGTTACTCTATCAGTGGACCTTCTGCAGCTCTGCCAATGTCTCTTCACCCTGAACTGCCTTGCGTCAACCACCAGTATCTTCAGGTAACGGCTGTTGTGTCTAAATATGTCAAAGCCTAACCCTTTTGCTCAGAGAAGCTGCAAAACACTTCTGATTAGGATCAGTTCCCCATAAATGTCATTCTTCCGACCTCTCTAGAGTTACCTACCCGTTTATGAAATGCATAATTCTGTTGGAGAGTTTGCGCCTGCAGCAAACATTTAGGAGTTCGGGATATGTAGACATGAACTAATAACAACTTGGGGGGGGGGGGGGGGGGTTGTCTTTTGAGCCAAAAAGCTTTTTAAGAGCCAAGTTGATATCAAATTCTCCTGTAAGCCATAGTGGTTGAGGTCACAGGGTCACTGCGTGAGTCATCCTGTAAATTTTGTTTGTTTGTTCGTCATCCATAAATATATTTTTTTGTTTTTGGTTGTTGCTCTGTGAAATGTATTGAGCTTAATGCTTCACCCTGTTCTTGCTGATTGATTACTCACTTCATGTGTCTTTATATATTGTGGGAAAAATGCAGGTAAATGTTGAACAACTTTGTAAAAGTATTCCCTTAAAAAAAAAAAAAACGGATTTCTCTAATTCCAGCGGGGTCGCAATCTTTTTTTTTTTCTTCTTTTTAACATTCCCTGGGTAAGAGGGTAAAGGTAACCCTCATGCATATGTTTTTGAGGCTGGTAAGAAAGATTTCTAAGACTAACCTACATGTGTGTCATATGAGGCTACTAAGGATGGTTTTCATGAGTGTGGCTTTCCTTGTAGGATGTGGGTGGAATAGACCCACTACCCACCTCCATCAAACATGTGGTAAAAGGCGACTAACTTGTTTTTTTTTTTAAAATTGGAGTGCATCTGCCAAAGAGGTGAGAAACAAAAAGCATACAAATGAGCCTGATGTGTAAAAGGGACATACACGCAAAACTAAAGTTCTGGAACAAGGCTAAAGTCCAAGAGTGGATAAGCAACCACAAACTTCTGCCAGAGTTTACAGCTGGGGAACACTGAGAAAAGAAAAACATACTTCATATTTTCCCATAGTTTAGCGGCCGCCCACAACATTGGAACATACAGAAAATGTTGCTTGCTTCCAGGTTGACAGTTGAACTGATTCAGACTTCTACATTTCAGGTGAATCCTGAAAATAACCAGGCATCAGAGGAACTCTATCAGGACAGAGCCCAGACTCGCTCACCTGTAAACTTTCGAGAAGGCCGTCGAGCATCTGATGGGCTTGTTGCTCAGGGGATTATTGCTTTCAGGCAGAAGTTGAAGGAGAGCATGCGGGCACAGGGGATGTTGGAGCTTAGGCAGGAGCATCAACAGTTGCAGGTGAGAAAGTTATTGCATGTGATTCCAAATTTGGGTCCCAGATTTCAGCTACTGGCTTCAAGAATCACTCAGGTGCACTTTCTAGTAGAGGTTCTTAGTCTGTGATCCACAGAGTACATGGATAGATTTTAGGTGGTACATGGATAGATTTATAGATGGATAGATTTTAGGGGGTACTTAAATAGATTGTGCATCGTCTGTGGCTTAGGCGTTGCAAGTTCGACTCGTAATTACAATGTACCGCGATCGAAACCCACTGCTGGCTGCGTGGATTTTATCGTGGTATTTGACGTCGCAGGCCGACCCAGCCTAAAATGGGTACCAGGATGGCTGTGCGGGGGAAGTAAAGGTGGCTGGCATAATGCTGATCACATTACCCACCTAGTGCCGATGGTCTGAAAAAATATAAGCGCTCTTCCCTTATGCCCGATGCGCTTAAAGGTGTGAAAAGGGATCTTTACTTTTTACTAAATAGATTGTAGGTGGTACATGGATGTATGTTAAGGCATACATGGATAGGTTTTAGGTGAACATGGATAGATGTTTAGATGGATAGATTTTAGAGGTACATGGATAGATTTTTGTTTAGATGGATAGATTTTTGGGCGGAAATAAATAAATTTCTAGGTGCACAAATTTTATGGGTTATATGGATAGGTCTTAGATGCTACATGGATATATTTTAGGGGGTACCTGGATAGATCTTAGGTGCTACATGGATATATTTTAGAGGCTACATGGATAATGACCGCATCGCACCTCTAGTGAATCCCATTTGATTACAAACATATTGACTTAACAGTATATTGTCAGTAAGCTTTGATGTCATGGAAACAACACCTATTACCATTTTACCTCTGATTTATACATAAGCCCACCTGCTCACACTTACATACTTCAACACAGATACTTCAAAACATACATGCTGACACTTCCACATATACAAGTACACACACACTCACACTTCTACACATATATGCACACTCAGATACCTCCACGCACACATATGCTTACACACTTCACCATCTGCGTGCACAAATGCACTTTCACACATATGTATACTCACTCAAGTACTGCCACACACACACATGCTCACACACTTCCCTGTATACCTGCACACTCTCTTGTGCTTTCACATATACTCACTCAAGTACTGCCACACACACATGCTCACACTCTTCCCTGTATACCTGCACACACTCTTATGCTTTCACATATACTCACTCAAGTACTGCCACACACACATGACACACACTTCCCTGTATACCTGCACACACTCTTATGCTTTCACATATACCTGCACACTCACTCAAGTACCTCCTCACACACTTCACACATATATGCACACACACACACTTCCACACATACATGCACACACTAACTCAAATACCTCCACACACACATACATGCACACACACACACATGCTCACACACTTCCCTGTATACCTGCACACACTCTTATGCTTTCACATATACTCACTCAAGTACCTCCTCACACACTTCACACACATATGCACACACACACACTTCCACACATGCATGCCCACACTAACTCAAATACCTCCACACACACACACATGCACACACACACATACACACTTGCTCACACATGCACACTCACTCAGATACTTCTACACACATATAAATACACTCACTTAGATACCTTCACACACACACTCACACTTCCACACACACATGCACACTCACTCAGATACCTCCACACACACACGCTCAATATCCCCCCCCCCCTTCCCCACATACATGCACACCCACTTAAATATCTCCACACACGCACGCATGCTCAACCACTCTCTCTCTCCCCCCTCTCTCCCACACATACATGCACACTCACCCAGATACTTTCACACACTCATGCTCACACACTTGTGTATTTACTGAGCTGAAAGATGCTTATCTGAGACTAATCTCTGTCACCATCTGCAACAGAACTTATACAACTCCCAGACTGTGGACAGCAGCAGCTCCTCTGACAGTATCCAGGTGGCGCCGGTCACTGCCACCACCTCGACCACCACTACAAGCATTACCACAACTGCAAGCTTCCCACCTGCCAAACCTCTGCCACCTCATCGCAAACTTTCAGCCCCGCACCATGGTTACCGCCAGTGGTCATTGGACGAGCAGTCCTCGCAGCGGCGGAGACCTCTGATCAAGCGCATGAGTTTGCCATCGGAGACGTTCGATATCCAACCTCACCGGCTGCTTGCATTGAAACAAGCCATTCAGGTATTTGTCTTCGTAATCATCATCATCATCATCATCACCAGTTTTACTGTTATCACAACCTTTATCATCATCATCATCATGATCTTCATCATCACCATCATAATCATTATCATCACCATCTTTATTGTTAGTATTATCTTCATCATCATCATCCCTCTTTATCTAATCTATCTCAGCTCTGTCTCTGTCTTCCTTTCTTTCTTCATATTATTATGTGAACATACTTTATTTATAAAATACAACTGCTGTGTG